GGAAAGAGAAAGCACCCTTCAACCGGGCGTGGCCACACTGCAATCCCTTATCCCTCATTTCGTCACCCTGGCAGGATTTAGGGAATGCGCACGCACATGCTCAGCTTGGTTTTCAAACTACTTGGGCTGGAATTCAAACTGCAGTCGGCCATGAGGGATCTGATCCCAATGCACAGTGCTTAACCGCCATGCTGCCTGTCTTTGTTTTTAATAGATTTAGGGGGTACAGGGATATCCGAAGCCTAGTTAAATAGAAGCCAACATTACCATTTGGAGCTCCTTTGTAAAGGTATCTATTTACTCACACACGGGGATGAGCCTGGGCTGCATCTACAGCCTCTGTGCCAGCCTGGCTTAAGCACTCACCAGCTTTGACCTAGGCCAAATTATCTAGCCCCTCTTCTACCTTCTACCCACTGGATCACAGGGATAGAGAGACGCATCAGCTTTGTGGCTGCGGTGAGGACTGAGTGAGGTAATACAGAGCAGACCCCGCACCTACCGACTGTTCAGTAAATGCTATTATTTGTATCCTGTGAGCCAGGCGCTGTGCTAGGCTTGGAGATATGACCGTAAAGAAGACAGAGACAATCTTGTGCATTCGCAGAGATTATGGCCCAGTCAGAGAGACAGACTAGAAAACAAGTGACTGAGAACCAGCAGTTAGCGTAATGGCTATGTCGCTGGATTCCCACGTAGTCTACCGTGGTTCGCATCCCGGACCTGGTGGCTTAGAACTCACGTCGGGCGTGTGTGCGTGCATGCCCAAGATCCCAAGAGGAGAATGGAGGAGAAGGGATTGCGGCGTGACCATCCCCCCTGGGTGGTGATTTCTCGCTTTCTGTCTTTCTGTCTCTCTCTGTCTGTCTGGCAAGCGCACGTGCCCTATAGCAAAAACCTATAGCAAAAACCTCTCAAAAAAAAAAAAAAAAAAAAAACAGGTGACTGCAGGACATTCTTAAAAAAGAAGGGGGACCAGCAGGTGGCATGGTCCATCTCTCTGTCTCTCTATGGTCGAATTAAAATAAATGAACAACAACAAAAAAAACCTATGTCAAAAAAGAATTATGTATTTAATTATATTTATTTATTATTATTATTATTTAAATTTGACCAGAAAAGGAAAATGAGAAAGCAAGCCACCAGGTCTGGGACTTGAACTGTGATCAGCCATGTGGGAGTCCTGCACCTTAATCACCACACCACCTGCTGACCTCAGACTAATAGTACATTTTATTTAGGAAGCTAGGGGAAGGACAGTATACCATGCAACCAGACGGGAAGAGCATGTGAATAGATTCGAGCATCAGAAAGACCCTCCTGGGTAAACAGTCCATTATTAAGTAGATCACTTTACACATGGCCATGTTGCCATGTTCCGCATCTTTAATCCCATCACGGTATTCATTCAGCACATCTAAATCCGTGTTGAATAGATTCTTATAAAATTCTCTTAAACCTCTCATGTGTAGGGCCTAGTCATTTCCTTGCGGGCAGTCCGCTGTCTAGAAAGTGTGCAAATATGAGGGATGTTAAACGTGCAGGCTCTGGCCTCAGACAGGTCTGCTTGTCCTCCCTCTATCTGTAAAATAGGGACTATGATATTGGGCTGTCAGAAAAGTCATGACACATTTTTGCATGGACAAAGTACGCCAAGACTTCCAGTGATCCAGCGGAAGCGACCTCACAGAGCTGTTGGGAGATCAGCCGTGTGTGGAGCCGCTGCACTGCACCAGGCCCTAGTCGGCACCTCCAAGGCGGCTGCTTCATGATGACCCTTTCTTTAAGGCGTGGGTGACCTTTGTGCACACAGATTTCCAGATTCCCTCGTAACTGCCATGTGTGTCCGTGTGCTCTGTCTTTGCTCCAGGTCACGGGGTTTCCCATCCATATGCCCTACACCGACGTGCAGGCCATCATCGACGCCGTGTATCAGACCGGAATTCACACTTCTGGCTTTGCCCAGACAGAGTTCGCGTTAGCTGTCTACATTCATCCGTACCCAAACAACATACTGTCTGTGTGGGTCTATCTGGCTTCCTTAGCCCGACTTCGATGAGAGGAAGAAGGGAAAAGACAAAGATTGCGCGACAGGTGCCGGGACAGAGAGCTTTCCTGGTACTGAGATCGTGTCCCTGTTCTCCAGGGCTGAGCTCAGTTTTTAAATTCACTTACAGAGCTGGAGACTTACCTCCCATGTCTGCCTTTTTTTCCTTTCTCTTTTAGACAGGGTCTCGCTGTCACAACCCTTCACCTCAGTGTCCCCACTAGTTGGGACTACAGGTATGTGTCACTGTGCCCAGCTGCTCAGGGGGGCCAAGAAGCAAACCCAGCCTCCCATGTGACATCAGCAGGCTGAGTAGCAGCATCTGTCAGCATGTGTCGCCACAGCGGGGTGTCCCCTCTCTAAGGATGTGTCCAGATGACTTTGTCACTAGAGACCTCTTTAAGTAGGACCTTGCAGGGACAGGCTGGCTGTCTGGGTCTTATTCTGGAAAGACACGTTGCTGGCCTCTTCCCCTAAGGCCGATGTTTCTCAAATTCTGGATCTTACATTGCCTCTGTCATAATTATTTGTAGACCCTTGTAGGAAATACAGACTCCCAGACCCCATCTAAGACCTAGTGAATCAGAGTAGATTCCTTCCTTAAGAGCAGGGCTGTAGAACCTGCATGCTTTCCCACAAGCTCCCCAGTAATTCTGACGCCCTGGCAGAGTGAGAGCCCCACCTAAAGTGGACAGAATGTTCTCGTTGCTGCAGTGAGGCTAGTGTATTTGATATGGTTCCGAATGCCATCCCAGTAGAAGTTACTCAGATGGAAACTTAAGTTCATTGCCTCTTGAAAGATGAAACATTCTCTCATTGGCCAAGGAAAACCTACCATGTTGGGCTGAGGGCCTTCTGGGGGTCTTTGGGGTGCCACTGCCAAGGTCCTTACAGTGCCACCTATTTGGAAGGGACTCCCAGGAAGCCGTGTAATCTAACCTCTCCCAATTCTGTGAGGAAGGGAGGACATTGACCCGTTTCACCACTCCCTGCTTTCCATAGTGAGCACCCTCCTCTTCCCTGCTGCGCTCCGTGGTGGCCCCAAGGAGGCCAGTCTAAATCCTAGTCCTTAAGAAGGAGCGGACAAGGTTCTAAATAGGAAGCACTGTGCTTCCTTCTGTTTGATTGTTCTGTGTTTCACTGGGGAAGTTATTTATATAAGTTACTTGCATGCAACGTACCAACTTATTTGCAAAGAAATAATCAAGGGATGTGGATTCCAGAGCTGACCAGAGCAGTTTCAAGAGAGAAACACACACCACCTCTCTCACTGGGCTCCCTGGTTCGCTTCCACCGCAGAGAACCCCCAGTCTGTATTCCTTCCGTAAGTGCGCCTCCATGGCTGCTGCCTGAGAAGGCCTCGTTCATTGGCCTGATGTCAGTCTTGGACCAAGCTTGAGATGAGGGGAAGAGGAGAATGGGCAGACGTGCGAGGGAACCGCCCAGGTTAACCCGAACCGTAATGTATCTTCAGGCACATGCAAGACACTGATCCTAATTTTTGATTTATTAATGTTAGAGTGTTTGCGTTTCATGTTATATGAACTTTCTTTTTAAACAAGTCTCCCACTTCGACTGCGGTAGCACAAAATAATGCCTATGAAACTAGGGGGTTGCCAAAGAAATGCCGAATTTGTTCTGTTCATTTCGTGGCTATTTGAATGTGACGCAGCTATCTGATTCACTGTTTATGGCTTTAGCATTAATAGGCTGCTTAAGAAAAAGGAGGCAAACACGCAGGATCTTTCTGCACCATATGCCCGTTTTCTTTCTTTCTTTTTAACCTGTGTGCTACTTTTCAACTACTTTTTTCCTGAAAAATTGTGAAATTACCTGTAATGCATTATTTTTCCGCTCGAATGTTTTAAAAATATATGATTTTTAATGGTTTGTATAAGTTCTTACATGTTACTTCCTGCCTGGTGTTTCGATGGGTGTTGGGCCTGAAGGAGGGCTTTGGGGCAGAGGTTTTTTCTGGTTAAAGGGGCCAGGCTAGCCCACCTCAGATGCACATGGATTCTGGCTTTTCTCTGAGTGTTCCTGGCTGGGTGTGGTTTTGAGGTCAGTTCCATTTCAAAACCTTTCACTGCGCTCAGGACTTCCATGTGTGGGCTGCTTAGTGGCCAGGGAGGTTTGGGCAGTCCTCTGAGTTTGGGGTCTTTTCAGAGTGGATCTGTGCATAAACAGCTCAGAGGGGTGCTCCATTGTTTGTAAGGACTTTGTTTTCTAAAGCTCCTGCTCCCTCACAACCTCCCCAGCACTTTCCATTTCCCTGGACCTCACTTTTCCAGTTCTCCGGCCATAAAGCTGGGAGTTCAGTTACACCCCCTGCTACACACTTCCTATGATTGTACCTGATTCCAGAGCGGAGCAGTGGGAAGACGGACAAGGCGACCACTGCTGCTCTGGTCACCCGGAAGCGCCCTCCCTCCCTCAGGTTTTCGCACCTGTGGGCCCTCAGCACCGCTGTGCTGTCCGGCTGCTACCACTGTATCTGCCCTGGGGTAGCCTGGGGGCTGGAGCAGGAGTGAAAGGAAAGAAGAAAGAAAGAAAAAGTGGGTGAGCATTAGGAGACCCCTTTCCTGTTTCACAAAGCACGAGGGATTCTCCTGGTGCTCTCCCTGCCCCGGTGCCCACTTCTGGATTCTTGCCCGAGTCCCAGCTGGGGGGGGTCTGGAGGAAGCATGCATAACCCACTGCTACTTTGGGGATGCTTCAGATTATGGCCTCCTCTCGAGTCGTTCACACTTTCTCCAGTCTCCGCATCGCTGCCATGGAGTCTGTCCAGGTTTTACAGCTGCATCCAATGGAAGAAACGGGGTGACGTTTGCTCTATGCTTTGATTTGGGGTTCTCCAGAGAAACAGAACCAGCAGGGTTTGTGTGTGTGTATACAAATCATGATTATACCTCGGGACCCCAAAATGGATTCCGAGGGACTCCCAAGTAGCCTCCCGGGAGAGCATTTTTATGTTCTGAAAAGGGAACGTGGTATATGCAGGAATGGGAAAGCGACAGACAAAAACAGAAGTGAGGGAATGAGGTCGAGAAATCATTGGATTGGTTACATCCTTTTTTTTCTTTTTTTGGAGAGGTTTTAGCTATAGGGCGCATGCGCTCGCCAGACAGAGAGAGACAGAGAGACAGAAAGCGAGAAATCACCTCCCAGGGGGGATGGTCACACCGCAGTCACTTCTCCTCCATTCTCCTCTCGGGATCTTGGGCACGCACACACATGCGCCCAGCTTGAGTTTTAAGCCATTGGGTCCGGGATGCGAACTGCGGTCAACAACATGGGAGTCCAGCGACATAGCCATTACACTAACTGCTGGCCCCGAGGATTGATTACATCTTGAAGTTTGTCTGCGAACGCAGTTTAAAAGGCGAGATGTCTGTGGCTGACTGAAGCATAGCTGCTGTGATTGGCTGAAACTGAGCAAGCTACAAAGGAAGCAGTTCTCCAAGTGAGGCAGCAGTTTGCTTATGCAACCCAAAGCAGGAGTATGGAGGCCTTCTCAGACCAATAGGTAAATGAGGGGTCTTCAAAAATTTATGGAGGGACCAGCAGTTAGCATAATGGCTATGTTGCTGGACTCCTACGTAGTTAACCATGGTTCGAGTCCCGGACCCGGTGGCTTAAACTCACGCCGGGCGTGTGTGCATGCGTGCCCAAGATCCCAAGAGGAGAATGGAGGAGAAGGGATTGCGGCGTGGCCATCCCTTCTGGGGGGTGATTTCTCGCTTTTTATCTCTCTGTCTCTCTGTGAAACAACCTGCATCGATTACAGTTTTTTGCACCAGAATAAACTTGAACTTTAATTCCATTTTTCCACAGCTTTTTGAAGTTCCCTTGTACATAAGTTAATTCACATGATCACAGAGGCTAAGAAGTCCCAAGGTTTGCTGTCAGCCAGCTGGAGACCAGGAGAGTCAAGTGTACTTGTGGTCTAAGAGCCGGAAAGCTGGATGGAAATACACATTAGCTATATTTGAGAATTCTATAAAAGATTTCTAAGGTGGACAGTCTTTGATGTTACCAATATGTCTATATTTCTAATGGAGAAAAAGGAAGACATGAAAAAATTGTGGTAGGGCTGACAGGACAACTATGAATCAAGTACCAGTTCTTTTAAACAGGACTATCTTGGGCTTTGGAGGAATGAAGGGGGCGGTAACTATGAATCAAGTACCAGTTCTTTTAAACAGGACTATCTTGGGCTTTGGAGGAATGAAGGTGGTGGTGTCCTTGGCGAGCAGTGGAAGGAATCAGAAATTCGGATATTCCTTAAATAAGAATGTATTGACTCTTAAATAATTTTGCTTATATACATTTTAAAAAACTTGGAAAAAAAAAAAAAAAAAAAAGAAAAGAAAAGAAAAGAAAGAAAGCAAGCTTGCGTGCGTCAGTTTGAGTCTGAATGCTAGGAAGGACCCTCGTCCCAGATCCAATTTAGGCAGGAGTTCCCTCTTACTGGCAGAAGGGTCAGCCTTTTCATTCTCAGGTCTTTGGCTGATTGGATTAGGATCACCTACATTAGGGAGGGGAACCTATTGATACTTCACTCAGTCTGTGATTCACATGTTAATCTCATCTGAAAACATGGTCTCCGACTCACCCAGAACAATGTTTGAAACTGCAGCCCAAGTCGATAGTTAATAAAATGATCACATCTTTTTCACAAGTAGAATCTTATATAGCATTTAAAAATCTGGGATATCATCTCACAAATGACGATGTTATAAAGTTCTCCATATCCTCCCCCCTCCCCCCCCCGTTTTTGGAAATAGCCTTAAAAACAATCCCTAACTTTCTGCATCATATTACAACAGGCTGGAACTGTGACGCAGGAACTCTTCCATCTCCTGCTCATAACAGATGCAATTTACCTTCCTACAACCACTCCAGCTGCTAGGTGGCAAATATGTGGAGGCCAGGACGGGGTAGGGGCAATGAGATGAGTTAAAAGAATATTTCGAGGGACCAGCAGTTGGCGTGATGGCTATGTCGCTGGACTCCCACGTAGTCAACTGCAGTTCGAGTCCCAGACCCGGTGGCTTAAACTCACGCCGGGCGCATGTGCGTGCGTGCCCAAGATCCCGAGAGGAGAATGGAGAAGGGATTGCAGCGTGGCCATCCCCCCGGGGGGTGATTTCTTGCTTTCTGTCTCTCTGTCTCTCTCTGTCTGGCGAGAGCACGCGCCCTATAGCAAAAAATCTCTCCAAAAAAAAAAAGAACATTTCGAGTCCAAGTGAGATGACGGTGCCTTAGGCGGGGGCATGACTAGTGGTTGCAGAGAACTGAATAATACAGATAGCAACAGATCGGGAACCAAGAATCAGAGCCCAGGCCTTCAGGCTTCTAGTCCTGGGCATCCAGCGGGATGTGATACAGTCGCTGGAAGGAACCTCAGGTGTTCTGTTACAGACTGTTCACTAAAATATTCATAAATTATATGACAAAAGCAATATACAAAACAGCGTGTGTAACGTGCTACCATTTGTCCACAAAACAGGCAAGGGGGTACATACATGCATAGGTATCTGAAAGGGCAGAATAGAATAGAGCAGTCGTGTTGCCTCTGGGAAGAACTGAAATCAGGGAGGGATCAAGAATTGCTAGTCATGGGACCAACAGGTGGTATGGTGGTTAGGGCGTTGGACTCCCACATGGATGATCACAGTTTGAGTCCTGGACCTAGTAGATGGCTTTCTCACTTTCTCTCTCTCTTTTTCCTCTCTCTCTGTCCCTCCCTGGTCAAATTAAAAATAATAACAAGTTAAATAAAATTCTAAAAAGAACTGCTAGTCACTGTATAGTCTTTTAATTTTTTTTTTTTTTTTTTTTACTTTTTTTTTTTTGGAGAGGTTTTTTTTTTTTTCGCTATAGGGCGCGTGCGCTCGCCAGACAGAGAGGCAGAAAGCAAGAAATCACCCCCCAGGGGGCATGGCCACGCTGCAATCCCTTCTCCTCCATTCTCCTCTCGGGATCTTGGGCACGCATACACGCACACGCGCTCGGTGTGAGTTCTAAGCCACCGGGTCTGGGACGTGAACCGCGGTCGACTATGTGGGAGTCCAGCGACATAGCCATTACACTAACTGCTGGTTCTCAGTCTTTTATTTTTTATTTTAAAAGGTTTTTTTTTTTTTTTTGCCATAGGATGCATGTGCTCACCAAAGAGACAGGGAGAGGGAAGTGAGAGATCATTCCCCCTCCCCCGCCCAAGCAAGGGGTTGCAATCCCTTCATTGTCCTCCCTAGATTTTGGGCATGCATGTACACATGCCTGGAGTAATCCTCAAGCTATCAGGTTGGGGGCTTAAAACATAGCTGGCCACATGGGAATTCAGCACCATCAACTGGCCTCCCTGTATATAGCCCTTTACTGCTAGAATTTTCCTTTTAACCTTTTGCATACATCTATTTACAAAATTTTAAATTAAAGCAGCGACTTTGCACTGCCTAAAGTCCAAGGGGTCTCCGGAGTCTGATTTTACCCTCTTATGTCTTGCCAACCCCACCTGGGCCCTGGCTGCATTCACACTGGCCTCTGCAGTTTCCATACTCTGCTCTTTAAGTAGGTGTTCCACCTTTTACTTCTGTCCTTCCATACCTTTGCTGACCACACACACACACACACACACACACACTAACCTATAAAGGGATTGAACACTGAAGTTTATGATATGAGGCAAATCCAGAAAATAATAAAATAATGATCTCGGAACAAATATCTACCAGCGAACATCTTCAAAGTAGAAACCATGAGACAACCTACTTATTACACTGGAGATTACAGCCTGTGGCCTTTCTTCTGAAAGGCTTCTTCAATAGGCCCTGAACATTTTA